AAAGTTGTATGTGAATAGGCCTTTAGTACTACTCGTCCCATTGTTATTATCACAAATACAACAGTGCAATTCAGTGTTGCCAACGCATTAGTTCTCTCTGCTAAGTTGAGGCATATTTGAATTAAAGTCCTTTATTCGCGAGGCCTTTTTCTCCAAATTGTGAGATTTAAAAACATTTATGTATATACATATGTATGTATGAACATAAATGTATGCTCTTATAATTTAAATCGTGCCCTATTTAATATGATTTAGGAATAGAGATGTGGGATGAAAATTTCTCTCAGCCTTTTACAAAATGGCAGCAGGAAAAGCGAACGTTATGAAGATATATAATATAAGAAATATATATATAACGTACAAAAGGCAAATCTGCAAATCTAACTATAATTTTACAACGAGAAATTATTTTTAAAAAATTTACTGCTCAAATACGCTTCACATATGTACATATTACTAAGAAGAATGAGTTTTTGTAGTGCTTTTGCGTTGGCAACTCTGTAGATAACCAGAAATTCACGACGCCTAGACTGACTGTACGACGGCTGTTTGTATGAATGTGTACGTACGCATGAGTGTATTTACAACGCATCAAAGTGACATGCATTTGTGTCTATTAAAATGGCTTAAGGTACACATAAATGTCGTTTGTGTTTACATACATACTATATCAGATTTTTTGAATTCATACGATTTTACGTTATAATTGTTATATGTACGTATATAGGAATATCGAATCTTATAGTAAACAGTACTGAAAAATGTCAGTATGTTAGTCCAAAGCTATCATTTAAATAAAATTGTTCATAATCACGTTATGAAATACTTCATTTCTTCAATATGTTCATGCATTTTAAAATATATTTACATACATATATTCACATCCGCATACTTCCTTATTCCAGTATCTCAGAAATACTTAACTTTCAAATTAGAATAAGAGTATCTTGTTTATTGAAAACTGGCAGAAATACTCCAAGCTACTTGTTTTAACCTAATTGGTCGGTGGAGTCATTTTACAAAACCTACAGTAGTAGTCTCAGACACAGTTTTTATTACAATTGAGGTTTTCATAAATTAAAAATAAAATATTCTGTTAAATACCTATTAAATTCGAAATTCGATGTTGTGGGTATTGAATATTTTCTTAAGTATTTGGTATCTGTTTATAGCCTTCATATCATTACTTACATATGTATGTATGCTTATTGTGAATTCTGCCACATTGTGCCAGCTCAGCCATCTGTCCGTTTTTATATCTTAATATACTATGTACATATGTATGTATGTATACGAATTTTTTATGCACTCGTGTACTTTAAACAGGTTTGTCTTCAAAGCGGACTGTGTTCGCCTTCACGAACGTTGTAATGTTCACGTTTTGTATCACGAATACATACGTACACGCATTCGTACGTATCGCACATTCATATATTCGTAATTAAATTTTTACCGTTAGTTTGAAAGGTTCGCATATCCAAAATAAAAATAGGTTTTGTCTTATTTATAGTCAAGAACATTTTAATGTACATAAATATGTATGTATGTGTATTAATATTTCACAGAAAGTTTGAAACAATAGTACAATACAGATTATGCAGACTTAAATATTACAGGAGTATATAAATATAAGTTATCTACGGGTATGTATGTGTATGTAAATAATAAAATTTTTAGTAAAAAAAATTTACTGAAATATTTGACATAAAGTCTGTTAGAATATCGATAATAATTATATGTACTAGAGGGTCGGGGTAATTCGTGGATCAGTCATTTCACCCATTTTCTCCATCAAATTACAATATTCGACGTGCACTCAATTTTGCTATATCTCTCACATTGAAAGAACGATATTCCGTTTCTAGGGCTCGAGTTTAGACGTGTGATGGACTATTTTGAACGTACTGTTTGTCCATATATCTTCATTGGTGCTTTAATAAAATACTGTAAAGTGAAAGGATCGGAAGGATTTTAAACTTCTGATATTTGGGGAGTAGCCCTGGTTGTAGTCCAATTTTCCTCATTTTCACACTTATTATAAATGTTACACTAATGGTGCGCAAAAAATTTAATTGAAATTGGTGAAGTAGTTTCTGAGAAATAGGATTTCATTTAAAGGAAGGTGGCGCCACGCCCATTGTCCAATTGCACGCCGATTCCTAAGAAGATTCTGTACCATGCTTGATGTAAAATTTTATCATTCTGACATATTTATTTAGTGAGTTATCGCACATTTAGTAGTTTTCAACAATAGTTTCTGAGATATAGGATTTCAGTTAAAGGAAGATGGCGCTACGCCCATTGCCTAATTGCACACAGATTCCTATAAAGATTCTGTACCACGTTTGATGTAAAATTTTATCATTCTGACGTATTTATTTAGTTAGTTGTCGCACATTTAGTAGTTTTCAACATAACTGCTAAATGGGGAGTGGATATGTTTATCATTCGTTTGAATTCATTTTCACACTTACTAAGGCTTATTCTCAGCAAGCTCATTTGACTTAAGATGTTTTGGATATACTACTACTGTACTGTACCTATTATTTGATTGATTATATACTATTATACTCTGTTGCAATACGTTGCTTTTAATATTGAAATCAGTACTATCAGACTATTAACAAACACTTTATTTAGCTTTTTTCAGGATCGAGATCGAAATATTAAAATACCAGCGGAAATATTTCTTTGTATTCAATTATTACTTTAACAATACAAAAAAAAAAAAACATTTGGTTATGAGCTTCGTCGTGGTAGACCATTTGCTGGACTTACGTACATAACATATGTTATATATACGTAACTTTTTAAGACAATATCAGAAATTTTAGCCAAAAACCCGGCCAAAATGCACCAACCAAATTTTGATTTAAACAACACGAAAGACGGTCTTGCCCAATATAAAATACTTATCATTATTCAAATATGTTATTGAAACAATAAAAATCCCCGGGTGAGAGTATCACGGTGCAACTACACAGCTGTGTTCATTGAAATAGCAGTGCAGACAATTTTTAGAAGTGATAAATTGTTTATTGTTTCATAATTTAGAAGCTCAATATGAACAGATTGATAGCCCAAAAAACTTAAGATTTAAATAATTCGTGTCCACGTAAACCACATACACAAGAATACTGGCTTCAACTGCACTGTTTGGCGTCTCGCTCCAAACCAAATAGATATTATATATGTCCTTAATTACATACATATGTAATGTATATTTATAAACCTTTAAAAAATTTTAGGTACAATTATATTTTTACTTAATATCTCTAAATTTAGTAATATAAACAAATAAATAATGAAAAAGAATTAAATATAAAGGAACGATTAAAGGTTCCACTGATTTAAATTCTACATTTTTAAGTTTATTCAACAAATGTTACTACCTCAGTTTTTAAAGAAGAATTCATCTCATTGTGTTAAGCGAAAACAGTGATCGAACACAGATCCAGCGGAATGTTAGTAAGCGGCGCGAAACATAGTGTAATTCCACAAATTATTGATATTGGATTATAATACCAGCAGGAAGCACCTTTCAAATTATACCTTACATAAATTGTGACAAAACAATAAATATTGAAATGTTATGAGATAGCGGAAACAGTTGAAGGAAGCGTGAACTTTAAACAGAGATAATATTTATTCACATTAATTATGTGTTTTAATTGGAAGAGCATTTGACAAATTTAAAAGTTAAAGTTTTAAAATCATCTTGTTCATTTTCAACTACTGTATTTTTTCTTATCAATCTAAGCCTGTTAAATTATTATTATTATGAAGTGAATTGTCCAAACTCCTAATGGCGAAAAGATTTTATAAAAATATAAGATACACAAAAGTTAATTCGAATTGTATGGGTTTACGGTGGTGTGCCTATAGCCATATGTATACATATGAATGTATGTTTACATCCTCTCTTGTGAGCATAAGCCACACACAGCACTTAAATGTATGCGTAAAAGCATTGAACAATTAAAATTCATAGTAAATGACAAAACACTGAAAAATTCAAAACAATTGACTAATTTTTGTAAATCTTGACAAAGTATACGAGCGAATAAGAACAGTCAATTACCTTAATTTCCCTTACGCTAGATTCAAGATATGTATTGAATTGGCGCGAGTCGATGAAAAATGCATATGGCCGCATAGGCATATGTGTGCATTATACATACTTATGTATGTGTGGACATGTGTTCGTGTATAATATTCCAATCTTCAATTATCTCACTGTTTGTGCTCGACACATATATTAATACTTAATCCAATCAGTATTTCGATTAGTATATTCACCAAGCATATATACATAAAATTTGAACTTTACTGTATATCACATTTATTTTCACACGGACACATAGACTCGTATGCTGTTGTTGCAATTTCGTTCTTTAATAATTCGGAGCATTTTGATTAAATAACAAATTGTTGGTAAAGACACGCCTGGTGCCGTATTTACAAAATACATTTCCACTATAGGCAATTACCAATATTGATCTAAATAGTATACAAATGTATATTATTTTTCTTTTTGGTTTTCACTTCACATCAATTCACTTAGCACGAAAATATTTCTACATTTATGCGCCGGATGCATAAGTATATAACCGCTGACATTTTACTTCTTACTAATTTCTAGCTGCATGTAGTGAGGCAATGTTGCCTACCCAAACAAATTATTTTATATGATTAATTGAGCAAAGAGAATTTAAATAAATTCGCCTTACTTTTAATATATAAGGGAATATATTACGAAGAGAATGAGAAATGACTGAGATGGGAGCGCTCAACTTATCGACTTATAAAGCTGGTTGAAAAAGAGACATATGCAGTGCTACCGTTTTCACTAACACGCTGTATGGTGTTTAAGATAGGCAAGAGTTGTTAAAATAATTAGACAACATTGGTACTTATTTTATTGACCTCATACATTTCTTGAATCACAATATTTCGAACCTGCTTGTCTGTGCCAGCACAAAACTATTGCTGATTGTATTAGTATTGTCTGGCAATTAAATTTAATGACGTAGTCTGGCAACGTACACTATTAGCAGGGTTTGTTTTTTACATTCTGTTACAAGTTCGCGCGTAATAACATTTAAAGTTATTCTTTATTTTGATGAAGCATTAATTAAGTACAGGAAAAGTAGGGAGAGAAATTACTGCCATCCTTTGCAGCAAGCACTTAAAGATTGCAAGCAAGTACAATGACGCAACTTGTTCAAAATATTTCAAATACAGTTTTTTCCCCACGAATATTTTAAATAAAAACAGTATGTCTGATTCATCTGATTATTGGTTTGATTTGACTCTGGACCAAGAGGCGCTACATAATGTAGTGGACACACCAAATAAATCACTATTGCACACAGGAGAACATTGTCTAGGGTTCGATAACAATGTTGGCGATTCGTGGCTGTATCCTAGTAATTTACCGGAGCGGACCTACCAGTTAAGCATAGTAAAATCATCACTCTTCAATAACACACTCGTTGTGTTGCCGACTGGACTTGGTAAAACATTCATTGCTGCAGTTGTAATGTATAATATCTACCGATGGTATCCGACTAGTAAAGTCATATTTATGGCACCAACTCGCCCATTGGTGGCACAACAAATTGAGGCATGCCAACGTGTAATGCCGTTTCCTGAAGAAGATACTGTTGAGCTGACTGGTAAATTGCATCGTAACAGTCGCAAAGAAATTTGGAAGAAGAAACGTGTGTTCTTTGCAACACCTCAGGTGGTGCTGTCCGATATGTTTGCCGATGACGACAAATGTCAGTCCGATTTAAATTTTCCTTTTAAACAAGTAAAACTGATTGTCGTAGACGAAGCTCATCGGGCAAAGGGACGATATGCATATACGGAAGTAGTTAGAGCCATGAAGGAGCGAAATAATTACTTTAGAGTTGTGGCACTCTCAGCAACTCCTGGTCGTACGATGGAAGATATTGCTGAAGTCGTACAAAATCTGCTCATATCTCATATTGAAGTACGTTGTGACACATCAGAAGATGTACTGCCTTATATTCATAAACGGAATATGAAAACGGTTGTGGTACAGCTTGGAAATGAAATAAAAGAATTATATGCAGAGATCTTATCAATTATAGATCCTTATCTAAAGGACTTAATAAGTGCTAACGTATTAAGAGGATCGTTGAAAAACATTTCACGTAATTTTCTTTTGTTCGAACAGAAACGGTTTCGGGAAATTAAACAAAATCCGCAGCATTCAAACATATCGGTTTCAAAAAATTTTTCATTTTGTATTAGTATGTATCATGCTCTAGAACTATTGGAACGCCATGGCATTCGCGTATTTCTTAATTATTTCGAGGAGGACGAAGATGGGCGAAATAAGTTTGTTGTAAATATGGAGCCTAAAGTACGTAATTTATTGGATCGATTACGTCATCATTTTGGTCGAGACTCTTTTGAAATTTTAACACATCCGATGGTCAATGGTCAAATCGTTAAAATGCCGGACAATTTGGACTTTGGACACCCAAAGTTTGAGCAAGCAAGAACTTGTTTACTTCAACAGTTTCAAGTATGTTAACCGTTATAATATGTTAATATTTATTATTCTTGTCATAAATGAATTTAAAATATTTATAGACTACACCAAACACGCGTGCTATAGTTTTCTGTGAATATCGAGAATCAGTTATGCTTATGTATCGATTATTGTTACACCATGAGCCGCTCCTGAAGCCACGTTATTTTGTAGGTTAGTACGAAATATTTAATCCCTTCTCTGTTAATTTTAATAATTAATTTTCATATCATTTCATAAGGTCAAGGTGGGGGTAATATGGGTTCTTTGCGTCCATTAACACAAAAGCAACAGATTAAAATTATGGATGACTTTCGAAGTGGCAAATGTAACATCCTTATAGCCACCTCCATCGGTGAAGAAGGTATTGATGTTGGCGAAGTAGAACTTATTTTATGCTTCGACATCAATAGTTCTAATCCACAGCGTTTCCTTCAAAGAATTGGACGAACTGGAAGGAAAAAACAGGGTAATGTTGTGGTATTGGTTACCGAAGGCCGGGAACAGCAAATTTTTAAAGATGTTTTAGCTCAAAAAGATTTAACTAATGGAAGAATGCTCCAATCAATGATAGTAAACAAATCATTATATAAGAACTCACCACGATTGGTCCCTACTGATGTAGATCCCAATGTAATTCGCATTTATATAAAACCTACTAAATCCAAGGAAAAGAACAAAAATTTAAATTCAGAAAATAGAGCAAAAGAAAAGTTGGATAATCAGGATTTGAGAAATTTTTTCAAAAAAAAGGTAACTCCTAATCCTAACACAATGTTCACAGATCCTTCACAGCATGGTTTAGAGACGCAGCAAAATCTTGAAAAATGTTTTAGAAAAATCGATGACTATTTCAATGCTTTTGATGACCCCGTGGCATCTAATACACAATTATTAAGGGGTATTACATGTACACAAACATTTTCTCATAAATTAAACTCGTCTCAAAGAATGAATCTATATAACTCTCAACGTTTTCGTAATCTAAAAAAAGTTTTTGAGAAAAATTCACCTTTAATACCTTCCAAAGAACTTATTACAAATCCGATAGAACAATTAAAGTCATCCAAGGTATCTAATGATGGAAAACTTTTTATTTTGCGCACTCAACCATCTATTGTTAGTAATATTTTTGAGAAGATGAAGTTGTTGGAGATATTACCATTGAAACCCGACGAAATGTCAGACGAAGAAAAAGATATCCGACATTTGTACAACATTATTGAAAAACTATTGGGTGGCAATCCTTTGACTGTAGAAATGTTCATTGATGATGCTGATATTGAACGCGTAGTTAGACAACGAATTCATAGACCTACCTCTGATTATGATGTAAGTGATAGTGAGTACAAAGATGTTTGCAATACAATATTCGATGGATTGGAAGAACAAGGACTTTTATGCGATAATTTTGATTACATACAAGAAGAATTGAAGAAAACTAAGTTTTATAAAGATGCATATCCCAAACCAGAAAATGATGATTCTCAACCTATATCATATTCACCACTGAGAAATGACGCCGATTCAATGGTATATGAAACTGTTATTTTAGATGAAGAAGCTGAAATCAGCACATTTGGTGAATCTAGCATAAATACTGAATCTATGTGTCAAGATAATTGTCAATGGAATGAATTTACAATAAATGCAGGTAACAAGTCGACTCCAGTACAGGGTCCTTTAGCAAAAGCTTTTCAGCGGCAGCTTTCAAAATTTGGGAACAAAATTCACACAAAAGGGAAATCTTTGAAACTGGACGATAATTTTGGTACATATAACAGCGGAGATAAATCATCTGACGTTATAACTTTATCTGATACATCAGATGAAGATTATCAGGCAGAAACACAGGCCTTGATCAGTAGAAGATCAACAAACTCGGAACCGAAGTATATAAAACCAAATTTAAACAAATGTTCAAATAACTGCAAAAATGTCGCCTTTACTGGTGATCTTTCTAAGCAGATTCCTTCATTATCAAATTCAACCCAAAATGATTTAGACGTCGATAGAAATAATTTTTTGAAACCAATTCCTGAAGAAACTCGTGAGGAATCTGTTGACAACATTCCTACTTTGCAATCCAAAATTGACGATAGTAGGGCTTTTACGAACCGACCTTTTTACTCCTCAAATTTCAATTTATTTCAAACAGGAAATAAATACACTTCTAAAGTGAACTGTAATTTAGAAGTTTTGAGTTCTAACACCGCCATAACGCCACCAGAAGGGCTAGCAGGTCCAGCAGAACAATATAAAAATTCATCAACCCTGTTCTCTCCGCTCCAAATAGAAGCTAATGATTTTTTAAATACATCAACTAATGTCAAGCCAAATTTAGAAATGCAGAGTCCTATAAGACCCATAACACCACCAGAAAGATTATCAACTCAACCAGAGCAATATCAAAAATCACCAACCGTTTACGAAATGTTCTTAGAAAATGTGAAAAGGCGTAACGGGAATATGCCGGAACATATAAAACATAGCGTTGCCTTCGCAGAAAAACAGGTTCGCAAAGCATTATCTTTATCAACAATTGATTATAGGCATTTAATTTCAAAAACAAATGAAAGTGACAATGAAGAGTCAAAGGTTTCATCATTTAAAACATCAAAATGTAAAAATATGTCATCGAGCGATTCAGGTGAACTGAACGAGAAAGCAGTTGAGTCGGAAACTGATTGTGAAGAGTTTATTGAAACACAAATCGTACGTAAATAAATAAACAAATTGTTTTATAGTGGTAATGCTAATATTATAATGTATTTAATTAATCAGCCCCAGCTTTGTACGGAATCCATTTCAAACGCACACAGTGGTTCAAGTGTTACTAATACAAAGGCAGAAGAAGAATCTGAAACGGAGTGCGAAGAAATCACTGAAACGCAAAAGGTAACACATTTTGACATTGTATAAGTATCTGAGATACATATGCATGTAATGTATACAATAGGCTGTTGATTGCTTCCGGTTACGACGGCAAAATCGTCATCGTCTGGATAATTTTATTGATTATGAGGCTGCAGCTAGTGGAGATGAAAGTGACGATGAATATAGAGTCAGTCAGTATGTAAAAGACTCTATGATTGTATCGAGTGATGAGTTGGATACAATAGACGAAAATGCACCCACATCTTCTCAGATGCAAGCACACTATATGCAATCCATTAAGTATGTCAAATACTAATAATTTAAACCGTATCCTAATACCGGTAATATTGAATATCTACGGTTTAATTTTATTTATATTTCAGAAGTCCCAAACCTGTGGCTCGTGGTGCTTTCAAAATTCCGCCCTTCCGGGAGTATAATGATCTCAGTCAAATTTACTCACAAGTGGCCTCCATAGAACCTTCCCAGTATGTTTACGACTCCTTTGTGGTGGATGAAGAACATGATAAAGAATGTATGAAATCGGAAAATGAAACATTGAGCCCGCTGGAACGAGCTGAACGTATTTTAAAAGAACGACAACGTGCACGAAACAAATTCAAAAAGGTTGGCAAGTTTAAGAAGCGGAAGCGTATTCACCAGGTTTCCGACAGTTCTGATGATGACTTTATTTTTCTTAAGTAAGATAACAAATTTGTATGTTTTTAAAACTGTTTGAGTAGTATAAAAGGTATATACATCTGTGCAAATATAATAATAAACATAAAAGCTTAGTTTCTCCAACAATACCTTTTTAAAGATTTTGATGAGACAACTCAAATAGTTACTTCTTATTGTATGCTCTCAAGATTCGTATTATAATCATTACCGATTGGGTTAAAGATGGTAGTATAGCGAAGTTTATGCAGGTTACGAGGTTTTATATACACCTCGTTAAATAAGTTTGGCAAGCTGCTATTGTTTAGTTCGATGGCTGTATTTCCAGTTCCTGATTCTAAATCCTGTTCGTAAATATTTTCGAATAGTATTTGGTTTTTATTTACATGTACATCTTTTACCTTTAAAAAACTTTTCTTCTTTTAGACTTTTGTTTGCTATTTTTGTACAATTTACAATTACGGAGAGTAATACACCAAACTCTACAATGGCAATGATAAGACTAACTTCTAAGAACAATGTATACTGTTCATGATACCAATTCTCTATGTATTTGAGACAAGGCATTTTGTGACGATTTTTTTCATAGTCCATTTTTTGCAACATTTGACACTGAGTTATATTCCCGGGCTTCGGATCCAAATAAGACATCTTATCATCGGCATTGTGTAAAATGCAACAGGTAAGAGGTACCACCCACTCTTGCTGACCGTAACTTAGCAGTTTCCAGAGGGATGTGTCATAGTTGATATCGTTATTTATGCCACAGCAGCCGAAATGAGCCTGAGCCAAATCAATGGCATTGGTGAATTGCTCTTTTCCAGGCACACCATAGTTTCCCTGTAGAACTTCAACCATTTTCGATTCGTCCAAACTGATGCCCAAACAATGTGGCCATAACGTTATCGCAAGACAGACAAATAACTCAGCTAGAAGTAACACGGCCACTGATGAAAAATACAAACTTAGGCAGCAGTAGGTGTGCAGGCTGGAAGCCCAAAATCCAACCATGGCGACAAGGACTGCTATACATCCCGCTACAGGAATACCAATGGAAATATAGTAAAACAAAGGTTGTGGTAAGCTGTTCAGTTGCTCGCTTGTTGTCACCAGAAGACGCGATAGAAGAATACGTTTTGAGTCGTTAAAGAGGTAGAAACCAAAAACGATAAGCATCACTCCACAGAACTAGAAAGGAAACAAACAAACATAAATAGCCAAGTGAGCTTTTTTTTAAATTTTCTCAAAAGCACTTCATAAAATTTAATGAATGATCGAAATGCAGGAAGATCAACGAAAATGTTTTACCATTTCCTGAAATTGTCTAGTTGCTGTGAAATATTGTAAATGTTCTGAAAAATAGTTAAATCCACAAATTATATAGGTTTGTAGGAAGAATAAACAAGCCGCTAATAACAAAAGCAACAGAAAACAAGAAAAAACGTTAACTCCGGTTGCACCGAAACAACAATACGTTTCAGAAATGTTTCCATATAAAAACAACTAGAATACCGAAAATCATAATATGTAGTACATATATGAGGGTGGGGCTGATTCATAGGCAAATTTTCCCAATTTTAGGCTCAAAAATACCGTATTTATATATTACATATTTCCAATATAATACGTTCACTTGTTAAAAAGTCACCTTGTTGTTGGAAAATCATTTTATTATGTACATATATGGGATCTGGTGAAATGTAATCGCTTTTATTAATTTTTTTTACAACATTATTTTCAGAAAATATATCAATTTAGCCACACTCTATTTTAAAATTAATTTGGTATCGTATGGGAAGTAAGCGTGGTTGTTGTTCTTGTAGCAGCAAAATT